TTCCAGCAAATTGATTGAATTTACAGAGACTAGCGAAAAATATGAATTAGTTGGAGATGCTGATAAGGGAAAAAGCCTGAGCATGCGCATCTACCTTGCAGGTCAGTTGCTCGAGTCACTCGAGACGGATTCTCACTTTACTGTCTCCACAGGGTCATCGACAACAGCAGACGACTCAACTGACTCAATAGGAATCACTGCCCTCGGTGAATGCTATCTGGGGAATAGAACTTTTGCCCCCGAAGGTGAGCCGCCAAACCCCGGCTCGCAAATTTGGCGAGAGGCTGTTATGCATTCTGGAAATCGGGTTCAACAATGGCTATCTGTTGAATGAACTTGTGACAGAAGACCTTCATCCATAAGAGTACACTAATATACCTCTATAAAATTGCATTTATTTGCTACAAAAGATCTACATTCCATAGCCAGATAAGTTCCATTCAAGTTATCATTTATACTTACCCTACTCTTTTGCCATCACGAGGGAACATCAATCTCACTCATTCTCACAAATTCTTTAGTAAAAGAACAACGATGCGATAAAATCAAATGTAAACTATGCGCTAGCAAATCTATCCACCTGATATCTATCTAAAAGCCTAGGCACACTCAAGTTTTTAATGCAATTCTTGTTTGCTTGAAATCTAAGTGTGCATAAACCGGTTATTTATTTAACATTTATTAGACAGTAAAAGCATAATTTCCTACATAGTAATCCTAAGAAGGCAGAACATTTCCTTACATCTTATTGTACACCTTAAAATCCACATTTCGTCCACGACTCTGTCACGAGTTTATGTAGTAGCAAACCTTATAGCTGTCGGCTCCAAATCTAACTTCTATTTAAAGTTATTCTTATTTCCAGGGGTAAAGGATAATGACAGTTATTTTCATTATTTCTCTTAACTTAGCCGGCGATTCAGGCAACGATTAACTGTTATTTATATACCTTTCTTTCCGACTTGGACAACTGTATTTGTGATGCTCTTCAAGCATCAGACAGGAAACGTAAAAAGTTTGACTTCGAAATAGAAATCTCTATAGATGTGTGTAGCCGAAAATAAAAGTTCATTTTTTATTGTCTCCAAAGTGAATTTCGTCTAGTATCTTTCACAACTTGGACAAATAAATCATATCAGGTCATTGCCCAAACAAAATAACCATGATTCTAAAGACGCTCAAATAATTACACAGGGCTTTATGACACCGGCACGACTTCCACATAAAATGCCGTAGAATATCAAATGTATTAGTTAAAATCGTAATATACTACTTGAATTGGATGAGGTTTTGTCATTAATACCTTAGGACTATGCAATGCAAAGATTGAATGTGCCCGCAAACAGTAAATCATTCTTTACTCACCACAATATGTCAGCGCATTTATTCGCCTTCTACTGTGTTAGTGCAATCATTATATATCCAAAGTAGTCTATTATTGTCATATACATTTGCATTTCTGTCTTTCAATAGAATTTCGTGGTGTTTTGTACCATTATACTGAAATCAGTTCATCTTTTGCACCTTTGTTTGTAACTGAAATCTTAAATTAACAAAACATCAATTAAGGATTAATTACATCATCATTTGTCCCAAGTTCGAGTCCATTATATGCGCACCAAGTGTGATATTTAACTTTGATCAGCATTCAAATAAACAAATTGTTGTTATTTCATAAAACTTGACTGCAAGTGAATCTCTTCTGTCGAAATTAGGGGAAATTTAAATAAATCATGTAATTTTTTGAATAATGCTTTGTATAAATAGAAGATAAAATTAAAAATTTTCTATGCAAAAAGTTAATAGAAAGTAAAACTCCCGATCGCTGAAATTTGCTTCAATCTAAACTTATCCGTAAGAACTGTGTTAAATTGAGATCGTTTAAGGTGATTGAAGACTTATAATTGAATTTTCCCACAGTGAGATAGCAGGCTCAAAGATGCCCTTGACTCTCACTTAGGCTTACCTGTCACGTATTAAAAAGTATAAAGCACGTACATAGTGAAGACATAAATTGATGGGTAATATTTTACTCCCAGGTTTAGTGCATTAACCAAAACATTAAGAAGCAAAATGGTTCATTGCAATATCGCTATTATCAATATTAATATATTAAGCTAATTTCTCACATTTCTACTGATTAAAAAGGCCTGTCAATATCAGTAAATAATTAAAATATTAAGAATCTAACTTATATTATTTTTTGTTAGCTAGTTGATCCATCCTATTTTGACTTCTGAAGTCAAGCTTTAGAAAATTAGAGGTCATATAATTAGGACATATATATTTCTATGTATTTATGTCATTTGAGGTAGAAGATTTGAATTCATATTTGTGCGATCCTAAATGTGATATAAAAATATTATTGCGTTATAATAACGTCAAAACGATTAATTGTTTATAGGCAATTCTGGAGAACTTAGAGCTCAATAGGACCTATAATGCACCCAATATTCTAACCTAGTTCATGACCTAAAGTTAATTTTAAATAGAAATATAACGAAATCAAGATAAGTTTTGTTAACCATTGCTCAGCACCACAGTTAAGCGATCCATTTTTCTGACTTTCGCATCCATTAATAAAATACTAGTATTGCAAGCTAGTGCAATTTGCTCTTACAGTAAGGGAAAGAATAATGTCAGATCAACTTCAAGTTGATGCAGGTTAACAGTAATGTTTGCCCCACTACTTTCTTCTTTGTTATTAATGTCAGTTTTAGTTAGCCTTATAGAATGCAATCAAGATTTGCTTTTATAATATGTATCCAATCAGCAGTGAAACTTAATCAGCAAGTCGAATGAATAAAAATTGAATGAGTTCAATAAAAAAAATTTTTTTAATGAATAAAATAGCACTGAATATTTTGATACTTTAAATGATGATAATTATCAATTATAGTAATTAATAAAACAAATTTTGTGAATTTCCCTTATATAGTAAAATACCAATATATGTGGATGTCAACTTGCCTCTTAGGCCCGATAGAGGGAATCAATGTCATAAATGTACCAAACTTACAGCCATTGAAATTGTGTGTGCATAAAGATAAAGTAGTTTAATGGCTAATGACATCAATCCTGACTGTTATATTTATCCAGTATTCATGTAAAGGGGTTCTAGTCACGGCCGAACCTGCTGTTTATGGAAGTTGTTTGACCTTGTTTTCGCAACTTGGTCATATTGGTAGGAAGACTTATAGGAAACGCACC